TTCTTGTCATGGCACGGTCTGGATCCTTTTGGCGTGTTCTGGGCTTGAGGAAGTTTGCTTCTGGTGATGAGGTTGGCGAGGTTCGGTGCTTGTCTGAAGGCTAGGATGGGTGGCTCTGGGAAGATCTTTTTAAGAATAGGGTCTTTTTCTAATATGGGTTGCAATTTTTGGAGGATTTTCCGTACAGGTTCAAGGGAGGGGTGATACGTCATAACCAGCGGTGTGAGATTTGTGGGTGTTTTTCTTCTGTACTGCAGCAGTTCTTCACGTGGTATCCAGGTGGCTCTTTCAAACGTGCGATCTACCTCTCTGGAGGAGTGTCCTTGCTGGGTGAAAGCCTTTTTAAGATTGGTGAGGTGGCAATCCCGGGTGTTGTCTTCAGTACAGATGCGGTGGTATCTGAGGGCTTGGCTGTATATCACAGCTTTTTTGGTGTGTTTAGGGTGATTGCTGGTTCTGTGCAGATATGTATGTTGGTCTGTGGGTTTCTTGTATACTGTGGTCTGTATTTTACCCTTCTGGATACTGATCCTTGTGTCTAAAAAGGGGATGTTGGTGTTGGAGTATTCTAAAGAAAGTTGGATGGAGGGATGGTGACTGTTGGATTTCTGGTGGAACTCAAGTAGAGATTCCAGGTTCTCACTCCAAATGATGAAGATGTCATCGATATATCGTAAGTACAGCAAGGGTTTGATGGTGCAGTTCTTGAGGAAGTCTTCTTCCAGGTGGCTCATAAAAAGGTTGGCATACTGTGGGGCCATTTTAGTGCCCATAGCTGTTCCCATCATCTGGAGGAAGTGTTGATTATTAAAAGTGAAATTGTTGTGTGTGAGGATGAAGTGTATATGCATACTTGAATAGGGACTGGATTGATTTGTGAAGCCAAGGCACCTGCTCTCCAACAACTGAAGGACAGCGTCATCTTGCAACTGACCCTTGTGGGATCAACTGCAAAGCAGACATGGGATAAGCATGCATATGTCTTCATACCACATGCCTGATTATTGCTCCTGATGAAGTATAATGCCAGTGTGTTTAATTATTCAAACGCGTGCAGGTAATGTTACCGTCATTAAGGGATGTGATTTTTACTTTATAGCCCCATTTTCACTAGTCAGTTGTTAATCAGGAATTATACATCGTATAAAGTAACGCCCCCTCTTATAGGCATACATCTAACAATGGCTACAGAAATGCCATTTCACAGGAAATTGCAGGCTTTGATAGAAAAAGTCAAAACACAAGCTAAAAAATTCCTAGTTACAGTACATCACGATGGAAATACTGTTCAGCAAGTTTTAGACCAGATTAAAAAAAAGCAAGAGGCTGGAGAACAACACTGGTGGGAAATATTTTTGGATGGTTGCCCCTTTGCTACAGGACTTTTTTTTACCTGCTACTGTGCCTGGTTGTTTTGTTGTTGTGTTTGTGGGTTGTGATGTTTGTAAGCACAAGTGTGATGTCCTGCTGTATAAAGCACCTCTGTTGACATGTACAATGCTCTCAAAACGTCCAACAGCTGCTAAAGCATTTGTGAATTGATGAGGCAACCCGTGGGCGATGGCACTCAGGGTTTTGCAGTGTGCAGCCACAACTCTTTATTTAGAGTATAAACCTAGCTATTGGTTACAGCCCCGTAGGCTGCAGCAGCGTGAAGCATGCTAAGCAGAAGACTTAGCATAATGACATGGATAATGGCCAATGTGAACACTGGCCACCAAGGAAAGGACTATACCCATAAAAATGCGAATGGCTACTCCTGCAAATGTTGCCTAGCAACTGAGCTTGCAAAAGGCTACTGTCTAGTTAAAGTTGAGCAAGCAGCTGCAAATTTTTTGTCATAGCATTAAAAAAAAACCTGCGTCAAGGACAGTGGGAAGATGTGCAGAAAGAGAGAAATTGTGGTAGGAAAAGTATGCAACTATGGATATGTTTATGTATATAAGGTTTTAGAAAAATGCCCAATGGTGAAAAATTTATTATGCAAAGAGCCTGTAAACAGTCAGCAGCAGTAGTCATAGTAGAAATAATGAACATACAAGTAACAAAGGTATTAAAAAATTGGGAACAAAGTCACTGGACTACTAGATTGCTGCGCTACTGGACTGTGACCCCAAAGGTCCCAGTGAGACTAAATGGTCTGATCAACAAGAACCAACTTGAAAGGTACCTAGTACTTTTCTTAGTTCAAAAGTGTGCGCTATCCATTAAATAAACCCATAATAGTGGAGTGGAAACTCCAGTCCCTCTAGTATTTTCTCTCTCAACCATCCACTGGTTCCTCAATCCAAGATGTTGAGGCAACAATGGGTACAACTTCAAAGACTTCCAGAATGCATCGTATCTGACTGAGGACCCTAATTTGTCTTCCAGTTCTGGCCCACATCCTTACAGCTGGTAGGAGTCTGCAACCACTACTCATCTGCCTACCATCTGCACATCAATTGCCAAGCTGAAAGGACAAACAGGATCTTGGAGCAGTCCCTCCATTGCTACCTTAATTTTCAGCAGAATAGCTGGTCTTCCTTGCCGACGCTCAGAGTCTGCATGCAACAACTCTGAACAACTCCTTCACGAGGCAAAGTCCTTTGTTTGCAAACAACAGGGTCCAGCCCCAGTTTCATATGGCACTGCATACAGAATCCACCTACCCCACAACTGCAGACTGGTACAGCATATCTGTGAGGTTCACAAGCAAGTGAAATGAAAATCCAAGGAAAATTTATAGTGTCAAGAAGGCTGACCAAGATGGCTGGTCAGGTCTTGCCTATTCTGTTGCCCAACATCTTCATGAAAATTGGGCTAGTTTCCTAGGACCCTCCTATATAGGCCAACCCTGCAGATCAACCCTGTGGCGTAAAAATTACAACTATCTGGAGCCCTACAAGTCCACCTAGTGTTTCATATATCCCTCTTAAAGCCAATATAGAGAATTCCTTCCCACACTGGACCTGACCACCACAAAATCCTGCAAGGTAGAGACTGGGGAAAGTCTGGTACCTCACTGACTGGGAGGATGCAGGCCTGACTCTAGGTAGTTCTTGATTTCCTGGCTCGTGATTGCGCTCCCCTCTCAACCTCTTGATTCGCGACCTGGCTCACATCCGGACTCTGCTCGCCCACTCCAACTCTGGCTTCCTCTAATCCAGTAACTCACATTCCTGATCAACCCCCAGATCTGGCTGCCCATGTCCTGGTCCTGACAGTAACAGCACGATAGGTCAACACCTCACAAACATTAGACCGAACTCCTTCTTAATGCAATTAACAACATTTAAAACCAGACTCAGAAGAGTTTTGACCTTTGCAATTAGTAACATCTGACTAATGGTGAGTCACTGATGTTTCACTGACTTTTCAAAGAGTCCATTCCCTAAAGAGAGAGCATGCTACAGGGACCTTTGGCGAGGTCAGTAGCTCATCCTTAGACCACCATTAAAATGTTCTTGCATGCTGACTGCACTAAGACTTTGAACAGTTTTTACAGAATTCAAAGTAATACTTGTACAGCAGGGTTTGGGTTTTTCTGCTGCGAGCAGAAATACAAATTGTACCTGATCTCAGAATAAACAAGATAGATGCAGGGGACATGCCAGATATATGCAGTAACTGTTTCTTATGCTTAAGCCCAAATCAAAGGTGTTCTGAGGAAGAAAATCTCAGCAACAGGACTCCTAGCCGAGTCCTGTAATGGGTACAGGATTACAATAGGGGACTGTTTGGGTCCCATTACAATAGGGACCCCATTACAATAGGGGACTGTTTGGGAGAGGCACATTCCTTCGCCCAGCAAAACACACTGTGGGGAGCCATACGGTTCGGGGCAGACCCCAGGAACCACTCCTCCACAGCCCTAGTGGAACAAAGCCAACAGACCCTCTGCGACTAGAGCAACCTCCTGATGCCCTTGGAGAAGAGATGGGAAAGTATACACCAGTGAGGCTACCTTAGTATCTCTAGGTTGGAGGGAGATATCCACATGTGGGTTCAGACCCTTTTAAAGCCTGGCTGTTAACCAATCCACTCCTCTTTGTAGTCTGTCTGGTCTTAACCCTCTTCCCAGTTGTACCCCAAACTACAGAAAGGCTGCTACCCAGTCTGAGGGTGGATCATGTGATGGGCTAGATGAACTCACCATTTAGTACAGGAAGGGGATCTCACCCCCACATGTCAGGTTAAGAGGTGTGTCCCCTACAGACATTACATACATAGTATGACATCCCCACAGCTTCCCCTTGAAACTGGATGCAGTGAAAAAGAAAGGTCACTGAATTGTTTTCCCCACTGCCTTCTGTTTTAGTCTATAAAAAGGTGGAGAATCTTAAAAATTCAGTCAGCTCAACGGCTTGAATCAAGCCATTCACATATTAGCCTTGTAAGAGATCATTAAGATACAAGGTTGGTGGTCAACATAAAAATTTAGGATGCTTATTTTTCCCCCCAGCAGAACTCAAATGTAAAATAAATTAATCAGACTTGGGAGAGTGGCTACTCTACTCATAACCAAGCAATGCCTGCTGTCAGGAGCAGCACCATGTACCCTAACTCCCCCTTCGCCCTTCCCACACTTGTGTGCTTTTAGCTCACTGACTAATCTGCCAACCAAGGAGAGACAGATGAGATTCCCTTTGTTTTTAATCAAGTGAACTCTTCTCCTTTGATGGCTCTGTAGGTCACTCATCACAAGCCCTAGAAATGCATTATCTTGCCTCAGTAGAGCTAAAGGTGCTGGCCAGGGAATCAAACGAAGGCTTAGGTCTTCTGGCTTGGCACTGCTCTTGCTAGGCCCAGAAATTCAAGCTGGAATTTAAGATGCAAGCTACAAATAGTTGTGCATCCATAATGTCAGCATAAATGACCCTGGAGAAAAGACACCTTCTAATGAAGGCTCTGGTGTCATCATTCAGATCATTAAGTATCTGAATGATGCTAGCAGAGTCTCGATGTGTTGGTTTTTATTCACTCCCGAGTCATTACTGAATATATGATGAAACACTCACATAGCTGTGTTTTTGATGATCCTTCCTTGGTCCATTTTCTGCCCAATACCATGCACAACAAACACTATGTGACCAGTTTGCGGCGGCTTGTCTTCTAATGTGGCTTCTTCTACATAGCCTCTATGAAGTCTTGTCCCACTACTGGACGCTGCAGAAAAAAAAATACCCTCAATCAACTGTATTCCTTGATGCCTGACATCATCATATATTCTGCTAGACAACGCATCTACATTACATAAACACACAAACAATTTTGCAAAATATATACAATTTGAAAAATGAGCACACACGATGCCTCAGATGTTCAAAGTTGTCCGAGAGACCTTGGATGCCCAATTCTCATTAAACTTACCATCCAATGTCATTTTCAGTGCAGATTTTATCATTTAAAGGCTGTTTTGAAAAAATGAATTTTCAAACAGCTGAATGATAGACAATTCGTGTTTATAACAAATGACATGCCGCTGTACATTTCAAATATCAAACATTTAATTTTCTCAAATTTTGAAAATACTCCCACAGAGATTAGTGTATATACAAAGCTTCTTGGCAGCTGTGTTTCTAACCTATGGATACAAAAAGCATCATCAGCATGATTGATATGCAACTCCCTCGCATTCAATGAATCGAGCTGGGGGGAAATTTTTACTTTTCATTTCAGTGACAAAACCCAAGACCTTCATTTTAGGTTGATCCAAATTGATATCCCCCCCCCACATTTTTTCAGTTCAGTAGCTGAACGTCTAAATCAGCTATTCATACAGCCCTAGCCTCAACATTTGTATACTGCCTTGTAGACAGCTGTGAAATCCTCTGGCAAAATACACCTCCATCCCGACCCCAGGGGCATTTACAAATAGAAGAGAAGTGTCTTACAATAGCACCAGTTAGATCAAGTATTGTGCTGTGAATGATAGCAACCCCCACGGTCACTATGTGGGGGTTCAATGGCATTCAATGATAAAAACCAAAAAAAAAAGGTTTCTAAAACAACCAAAGTACCATAAAATAAAGCCCTTATATTTGAAAAATGTTATGATTGCAAAGTCAAGCACTTGAAAGTTAGGAAATACCAGATTAAAGGGTAGTCTGTGGAACATTTATTTTGCCCCATTTTGAATAGACTATAACTGCAGTTTTCAGTGCCTCACTCAATGTGCAGAATGACTTACGCTCACTGAATGGGCAGCTATTCAACCCCCGCCCCCTTCTCATTCAGTGTTTGGCCCTTTGTATTATTCATTGAACACAGTCCATACCCTGCTCTGAATACAGTGATTAGCTTCCTCAAGGCTTGTCTATGGTGATCTCAACATAATATTTTAATTCTTTATGAACATAAATGAACTAGCCTCACAACATCCCTGTGAGATGAGAGGGGTTATCATTTTACACTGTGAAAAGAGAGGCACTGATATTAAAGCCAACAGTCAACTCATTTGGGTGCCCCATGTCAGAAACCTCTTCCGTCTTTATTCTTTCAGAGAAATTTCCACTCCTAGGTTCCCAGCGCAGGTCCTCTCTTGATCTCTATTGTCTGTGCTCACCCGTTCTGTTTAACACCAGCTCTCTCGATCGGACTGCGCAGAAAATGAGGAACATATGGTGAAGGGAGCCTGTGTGCATTTTGATTTATGTGACCTGTCCAGCACCACATAGGAACACTAGGATTCACTTAACTTATCTGTGAAGCTATCCTGTCTTTTTGCACAACCCTGCCTCATTTTCTACACACCTTCCAACTTCTGCAACAAATGAGGCAGAGGCCCGATAGAAAATAGTCTCTCTAGCAACACAAGATCGATCCAGCCCCATGTCAAATCTATATTATGCACTGAATGAGTCAGGAATCCTGTGGAAAAAATGTGAGAGATCAAGTAGTTAAAGCATATGCACAAGAGGGACAATTTAAAGCTGCACAAGTAACTTTTATGTTGGTATTTTGTAGCTCTGGAGTGCCTGACTTCACAACCTTAACATTCTTCGAAAGCAGGGTTTTAAGCAACACAAAAGCTTCTATTTAAACTATTTAGTAAAATTAAATTGTTAGTCTATTTTGTTTTTAATTACAAATGTATGCAACAACTTAACAGCACTTCTCTGAGTCATTCACCCACAAAAGTGCAACAGCAAAAACTATCTACCAATGAACCAAAGAACTTCAAACTTGACAACCAGATGGGCTCTAGAATTTTCTTCTCATAATATCAGCATAACAGACGCTATTAAAACAACAGTCTTTACAATATTCTTTACAAATGCTCAGAAACATTACCTTTGGAAAACCCCAATTTTTGAGTAACAGTTCTTGCAATTTTAGATGTTGTTGCATCACTGTAAAGATACACTTCATCCACACTGTGCCAGTCCACATGATTGCGACTCAACTTTAAACTATGAACAGCTGTAGTAAAAAGGAACAACTTTTAATTTAAATGACTAAGTGAAAATCCAGACAGAGAGGGGAAGAGGGACACACAAAAAATACAGTGACATTCTAGTATTTAAATTTGAAGTCTGTATTGCTTTGACCTTAAAATATTTATAAATGTTAGACTTGCCCGGCTAGAGCAGTTGGGCAATTCCTTTTGGAAACATCAGAACAATTCCGCTTTACTCCCTTCCCACATGGTTCTTCCTTTTAGGAATGGAGACTCCCTGATGAAAGGTACTCTTAGCTAAAAAGGCAACTCATGGGGGACCTAGTGCTTGCAAATTATTTGACTCAGCTGGTGCAGTCAGATGTACACCTGTGCCCTTGATGTCAACTCAAGCCTGAATGAGCAGGTACACTCATGCCATCTCTGTGTCCTGTGTGTACAGCACTTAGCACACTGGAGTCCTTACCCATGACTGTAGCTCTAAGGTGCACACACCTGCATTTGGGGTTACATGTGAAGAACTAACAGCTAGAGTCCCTCCAAGTGGGCGAAACACAGCTCTAAGCTCCACGGATAAATGTTTCTGAACCAGAAATTCTTTCCCCAGGACAGAATGGTGATTTTTGAAAGAGGATCACCAGTACTTTGCATGCAGCTGGCCAACACTTCAGCTAACAGTTTCCATACACAGGTACCTGACTGCAGCCCACTTAAGGCCCCTGAACTGGCATGAGGTTTGCAGAGGTACTCATTACAACTGCTGGCTCATTACAAGTGCAAATCCCAGATAACTTACATTTAGGATTTGCACTACTGAAGCTATAGGAGAGTAGCTGCACCGATGGAATTAACTCTGATAGTGTCTATGTCTCGACAATATTGAAGCTGTACTTTAAGAAGAGGCAGTGCCAATAGCCCTGCACTAAAAACAGTATGATTTAGCAGTGTCACCAGGTCTGGATGGAGAGCCCACACTCATTCAAAGCAGAAGCTGGAGTATGGAGCATGTCAGAAGTCGTGGTTTCTGCTCCTTATTGGAAGATTCCTTTCTGCTTCCATAAATCTATTCTGTGAAAGTTTGAACATGCCTTGGACAGTTATACTACAGAGTCTAAATCTATTACATAAAACCATGGTCATTCATAACCTTTCCTGTTTCATGACTTTGTTTCACTGCCAAACTGTAGAAGGCTAGTGCTATCAGACGATAAATTTAAGTCAGCACACCAGGGAGGAACTTAGTAGAAGAGAATTTAAAAACGCACAGTAAAAAACCACTTCATGCAGAAGTGAGTGAAACTATGCAATCGTTCTGGATTGGTGGCTCCAAAGAACAAAAAAAGAATGTTTACTCTGATAAAAGAAATATGTATAAAAATAAAAGAAGAGCCGTGTAAGTTTAGGGTGATATTCGGTGAAGAACCCAAGGCATTCACTGATTTAGAAACATGGCAGTCTCATTTTACGGCTGGTTGCTATTGTTTCAGGGAATCTTAGCATGAGGTGTCAGAAAGGAAAGGGGGCTCTAGGCTCTATCGACATCATGAATCCCCTTCATATGGACTGCGACAAAGGTGGTAAGGGGATAGGAGGACTGGGGACAGAGACAAATCCCTGTACGTGTGAGAGAAATTATTTCTTCCAAATGAAACAAAAACCCAAATCACACACACGTGGGCTCTAGGCCCATGCTGTGGGATGAAGAAAGTCCCTGAGCAAACTGGAAATTCAGGGACTGACATGAAAGCATAGCCCTTGCAAAAACCACTTCAGAGGTGAAGCAAAGGCTCGAGGATAAGGGGTCAGGCAGAGGCAAGGGGTGTGTGCATGGAGTGGGGCATAGGGGGAGGATGCCTTTTGTCTTAAGGCCAGTGATGTGGGTTAATGGAAGCCTTGGTCTCTCGCCACAATAAAACCTTCCCTCCAAACTGATGGATTTCATAGGAAATCAACAAGATTACTCAGACACAATCCATTCCTACCTGGGAAGGACAGTGCATTTGATATTCACTGGTGTGTTATTCTCCAAAAACTTATAGCTGAATAGTACCTGCTTTCAAGCCCCATACCTCCCCCATAATTGCTGACATTTCTCATATCAAAAAAAAAAATCAATCCAGAGACCTGCAATTACTTAAACGATAGAGCAGATATTGCTATCAGCTCCTGCATGAAGAGAACTGTTACTGAGGACAGAGTTAGCAACCAAAGCAGTCGTGCCTGCTGTTATAAATCCTCTGGCAAACTTTTTAATTCTACGCATGGACCTGAAATGCATTTAACTTCTAAACATTTCATTGTGGAACACCCAGATGATAGTCAGGTAGGCTCACTACCATCAGTGAGGGAAAGGAAACGCAGATGCATTTTGAAATCTAAAACAAAATTCTGCTCTTCAACACAGGAAGAAAACGTGAGACTTTTCTTTTGCTTATACGTAAATATATTTATGCTTTTGTCACCTACAGGAGAAGACAGGAAAACTCGGGTTAAATTTAGAGCAAACTGAACTGCTAGTGTGGAATTTCAAAGCACTTGCTGTAGACCTAACTCTGCTCCTGTTGAAGTTAACAGTTTATTATTACGGGTTTCAAAAGGGAGCAGTTTTTAGAAACCAGCCAAGTGCCTTTGAAAACCCGCTTCCTCCCTCCAAACATTAACAGTTCTGCTAAGATTTTGTCTTGCTTCTGAAGCGCATCAATTTATATCATGCAAATTCAATTATTTAAAAAACAAAAGGTTCTTTTACTGTGGCATAATCTCCCTGATCCTGTATTCCACACAACTTCCCCCATCTCTTTCAAATGCCTAATGCCTTGCTTTGTTCCAGAGCTGACTCTCCTTCTAAAATACCAAGATAATACATAAAAAGGGAAAAATACATATAATGCAATTAAATTTAAAAATCTAAATGGGAACAATTTATAAAAACAATTTAAAGCATCATTTTAAATACTTTAAACACAATGCATGTGTTATACGAGTGACCACCCAACAATATATCATGTAAGCCTCTTTCCCTCAGCTGACATAATTTACCATAGTTTGCATCTACTTGTGATCAAAAGCTCTGGTGCTCTGGCCCCATTTGATTTGATAGACACCACATGCAACAATGCTGCTGTAAAAATAAGTGTTTACATCTTTCATGATTGTCACAAACTTTATACCAAAGTATTACTGTTATAAAATATTATTAGCTTCTACTTTTCTAAGAGATACTACGGTGCTACTTTTCCTTTAAGAATTAAAATGCTTTTTCTACTCTTTTGAAAGAAAATGGCATAACTACTGTGCAAGAAGTGGAAGCGCATGGATCTAATGCATCCTTCTGACAGGCAAACTACAGTTTAAAGCTTCCTAGGCCAGGCAGAAAACAAGAAAAAAAAAATTCTACAATTACTGTACCTTGGGAACGCTTTCGTTTAAGACATGCAGCCTCTGTATTCTCCTTATATCCTCTCCATTTGAACAGAGAAGGGAGGGAGAAGGGAGGGAGGTAGTAGATAACTAAAAGCAAAAACACTGAGCTTCAAAGTAAAATTTTTAAAAGGGTATCATTTCTTTTTTCATTAGGATTACCGTTTCTAAAATGAAGTGGCACACGTCAATTTTTATTAATGCTTAAAAAAAGGGGTTTGTAGCAAAAATGTCAATTGATGCGAGTCAAATTTTCTTTACTTTTCATAAAATATTTATCTTTTCATGAACATGGCACTTCCAAAAAACATTAGAAGACTACAAGCACACCACAAAGCAATCCAGTCTCTCTTGCCCTTTCCATTTGTGCAATTGTAAAGAATGCAAGAACCTTTTATTTTTATTTTTTACATTTTGCAACTTCACGGACAGCTAGTGGATTCCTTCTCCCCAAAATATGGGGACACCGAGTTAGAACAGCCGACATATCTTGTTGCCCCATTTTGTAGGTCTGTAGGCAGCTGCCTTCCACAAAGTGAGGCAGACTAATGCACACTCTGATTAGGATATCCCTTCCATTCCTGAAAAGCACAAGAACATCCCCTTGATGGTAAAGCAAGTCCGTTATTTCTGTTACATTTTCAATAGTCTCATTTTATTCCTTAGAGGATATAAAATAAGAATATGGAAACAAATTTCCTTTGAACTATTGAGCAATATTTGATGGACTTACCTTACCATCTAGGGGAAGCATCAATGCTAGTCAGCTATGGAAGGGGACACCACAAGGTAAGGGAAAGCTGCAGTATCTGGAAGAAGCTGCTCTCAGACACCTACGAAATAGGAGAACAACAGGTACTATTAAACCCAGTTTTGATAAACTGCCTGTTGTATTTTTTATGGTCCTGGAGGCTAGCTTAAAAGTGAGGTTTTACCCCAAAAAGTGACCCCGTAAAAATGGCATTTTCTTATTCAATAAAACTGCTCTTTGCTATTCAGTCTCATCCAATGTCTTTAGTAAAAAGGGAAAGTTTTTACTTTTTACAAAACTTTTTAGTGTCTGACAGCCAACATAGCTAAAATGTGTGATCAAATTCTGTGAGGAAGTGAGACGGATTCTCTATCTTTTCTTGATTCAGAAACCAGATCTTTTAAGTTCAAATTACATTAACAGTTAACACTTCTACAAGACCATTGAAGGAGGTCTGTCTTATTTCATCTTTCATACACCTCGCGTCGATTAGTAACACTCCATACACAGGAATCCTGGTGCACTGTACTGGCAAGGTGCTCCTACTGTGGATGCAACCATACCAAAAACCTGAACTTTGTACCTGTGTAGTAAAACCATTCCTCATGAGCAAAACCAGCTATCTTGGTAAAAGTGGTGTTTTGCCAGTATAATCATGTCTACACCAGGGGCATTTATCATCACCCGGCTGTGCTGGTCAGGCACCACACCCCCCTAGGTCCTGAACTAACACAACTGTGCTAACAGAAATCAGCAGCCTAGATCTCACTTGCATTAGAGTTACAGTTGTAGAAAAATCCAGTGTATGAAAGAGGAAAAATAAGCCCTTTGAGGCTGCACTTGTGTACTGAG